CCAGTATCCTTTATGGATATTGACATAATTGTCTTCAATATAAAATGATAGACACTTGATTTCAGGATTATTTCAAAAGAATGATAAACCATGGCCAAATGAGATTATTCCTGGAATGTAAGGCTGGCCCAGAATATAAAAATAAGTCAACATTATACACCCCACCAACAGAATGAAGAGACGGGGAAGAATACACATGTGATCATCTCGTTTGATAAGACTCAACATCCTCCCATAAAAATACTCAACAAACTAGGACCAGAAAAGGAGACTTCAACACCTTAAAAGCTCCAAGAAGCTCACTGACATTATAAAATACTAAAACTAATATAGTAGTAAAATACTAAAACTTTCTTCTAAGATCAGGAGCAAGAAAAAGATGCCTGCCTTTTCCTTATCCATTAGCATAGTATTTGTTGGAAGTTCTAGTCAAAGCAGTTGACCAGGAGAAACAAAAGGTATTTATCTTCATTAGGGTTACTCTGGCTGCGATGAATCACTGTAACCAAAAGCGACTTGGGGACAAAAGGGTTTATTTGGTTTGTACTTACATATCACAGTTCATCATTGAAGAAATCAGGGCCGGCAATCAAGAAAGGCAGGAACCTGGAGGCAGGAGATGATGCGCAGAGGCTATGGAAGAAGCTGTTTCCTAGCTTCTTCCTCATGGCTTGCTCAGCCTGCTTTCTTATAGCATCTGGAGTTGGCCCCACCCACAAAGACTGGGCCCGCCCACATCAGTGACTAATTATGAAATGCCCTACAGGCTTGCCTACAGTCTGATTTTATGGAAGTGTTTTCTCAGTTGAGGTTCCTTCCTCTCAGATGACTCTAGCTTGTGTCAAGTTGACATAATACTAGTTGGCACAGGTTCCCCATGGGAAAAGATGAAGGAAGATTACCTGTTAGCAGGTGACATACTCTTAGGAGCCTACCAAAACACAGAGAAACATGTTACATCTAATAAATGAGAGCCACGGAAGTAGCAAGCTACAAAATCGGCACTCAGAAATCAGCTGTGTCTCTTTAAACTAACAATGGATAGTCTGATTTTATAAGGAATTTTAGAAAGCATTTTCATTTATAATAGGCTTAAAAATAGTTCAAAGTAAAATTACTTTGAACTAAAGATTTAGTCACCAGAAACCATAAAATACTGGCGAAAATTTAAAGACAAAAAAATGGAAAGACATCCTATATACATGAATAAAATATTGACATCTTAATATTTTTAGAAAGTCATTACTGTCCAAAGATATCCACAAACCACTGATGCTTTTTTTTTCAGAAATTAAAAAAAAAATCCATCTGACAACTTCTGTGATATCCCTGGGGATATCACAAAATGACTTCAAATGAGAATAACAGATTCAGGAGGTGGTCTCATAATTCATGATTCAAAAAAATACTACAAAGCCAGCAGTAATTAAAACAGTGTGATATTAGCGTACAGGATGATGATATATGTATCAGTGGAATAGATTAGACAGCTCTGAAATAAACCTTTCCAAAGATGGTCAAAAGATTGTCAACATGGATGCCAAAAACACTCAATTGGAAAATAGGCTTTTCAAAACTGATGGGGGCTGGATCTCCCCATGCAAAAGAACAGTAACGGACCCTAATCTTACAACACATCTAAAAATTAAAATGGATTTAAATTTTTAAAAATTTATTTACTTTATATCCTAACCATAGTTTCCCCTCCTTCTTATCCCTTAGTCCCTCCCTAACACTTCCTCTCTGCTCACCCCTATCCTCTCCTTCATTTCTATTCAGAAAAGGGCAGGCCTCCCATGGATATCAGCAAAATATGGCATATTAAATTGCAGTATTAAAACTGGGCAAAATAGTCAAAGACAGCCCCAGCTCCCACTGTTAGGAGTCCTATAAGAAGACCAAGCTACACAACTGTCACATATAGGCAGAGGGCCTAGGTCAGTCCCATGCAGGCTCCCTGGTTGGTGGTTCAGTCTCTGTGAGCTCCTATGAGCCCAGGTTAGCTGATTCTGTGGGTTTTCTTGTGATGTTCTTGATCTCTCTGACTCCTAACAATCCTTCCTCCCTCTCATCGACAAGATTCCTGTGACCAGAAGCAATTTAAGGACGAGAATTTTAGCTTCCAGTTCTAGAGGGACAGTCTGTAATGCCAGGGAAGGCATGGCATGGTGTCAAGAGCAGGAAGCTGGTGGATCACATTTTGTCTGCACACAGGAAACAGAGAGAAAGGACAGGAAGTTGAGTGAGGTTATATGACCCCTCAGAGTCTACCTCAAGTAACATAACTTCTCCAGCAAGGCTCTAACTCCTAAACCGACCCATAACCTCCCCAAACAGTGCCACCTGTTGGGGACCATGCATTCAAATGCATGGGTTTATGAAAGACGTTTTTCATTCAAACCATAGCATAGCCCATATCTATAGGTCTGTCTCACATGCGTGTACATATGTGTTATTGGCCTTTTATAGACATAGATTGAGGAACATTGTTACAGGAAAGCTTCTCACTTAGCATGTTTATAACTGTCTAGGCTCTCTCCACACAGAGCCCTACAGACCTGAAAGAAAAATGTTCTTCTCCTACTCCAATGATCAAAGATGAGGAACTGTCTGACCATATAATCCAGAGAAGAAAAAGTAATGTGCTCATTTACAGCGAAGATTTGGTTGTAGAAAAAAAAAAAATCCAAGAAAAAACGAAAGCCCATCATCAGCATAAACATCGAAAGGCCATTTGGAATCAACCTTATCCACTGTCCCCTTGTCAGCAGGAACATTGCATATTCCCCATTGAGGTTTGTGGCTCTGGATGTCCTTAGTGGGCAGCTAATTGACAGGCTGAGCTAATGTATTAATATAAGGCTTCAAAAGTGCATGAAGGAATAGGATGCCTAAAATGAGGAGACGCCATTGAGTTCCCCATGTTAGACAGGCCTTATCTCCAGAGATAAAGGGGGCCATGGTTGCAGAGGGTAAGGCAGGGTGAAGAGAGGAAAAAGTCTAGACAAGATTCTGAGGGCTTAGCCATCTATCAGGATGTGATTAGGCACCCACACTTAGCCATCTATCAGGATGTGATTAGGCACCTGCTGAGGTGCACAGAGTGGTAGCACCAGGGAGTGACCACACTGTGTAATCCCAGTGCAGAATTTCCAGCAGCACCTGAAAGGTGTGACACAGGTCAGGGAAAGTGCAATGTCCCTTGATCTGTCAATTTTGAGGGAAATGAAGCCACTAAGAATAATCATTGCCGTTGAGACAATGTGCACCCCTCGTTCCTGGGTTCTGGATGGTGCAGTTAAGTGACTGGAGCTGGACACTAAGGTCTGTGGGAGAGGAGAGTGGTGACAGTGACTGATGGCAGGATGGCAAGAGGATCCCAGAATACCGGTAGACTTGCTCTCTGGAGTCTGGTGCTAGTCATCAGCTGGTCAGCAAGCAGGAGTGTGAGAGGTGATGCCACCACTCTGCTGTACTGGGGAGGGGATCAGTCACGCCATTTGATTGAAGTTTGGTCCTTCATCTGTGGCCAGGCACAGGCTGTATGGTTCATTACATAATTTTATAATCAGACCCTTATGCCTACACTTCCTCTGAGCAGCGGGGGCAGCTGATATTTTTGCTACTGAGTCCATGATTCCCCGTGAGTATCTTAGGAATGGTTTATATGTATTGTACAAAACAACGTGTTTAGCAACAAAGTGAATATTTCTGTTAGAATGCCAGCCACAGTGTGGGCTTACACTTGAGGGCCTGGGTATTTCACTGTGGACTTTGCAGTTTGGGGAAAATCAGTCCTCTCCAGAGCCCAAATAGTACATATTCCCAGAAGTTCACAAGTGTAGGTATCTTCTTCCTCAGCAGATCTTACTAACAATGCTAATGGCCAGGAGACCCCTGCAAATAGCCAATAATCTGAGCTCAAAAGGCATATCACTGTGGAGTGCTTGTGAACAAGTTTATGGTATGGAGGAGTGGCTGCCCAATCATGGAGTTATTCGCCTGTCACCTTGATAGTCTAGCCAGACTGTTTTTAAATTTTTCATTTATGAGCCAGGCAGGTGCATGTCTTTAATCTCAGCACTCAGGAGACAGAGGCAGGTGGAGCTCTGTGAGTTCAAGGACAGACTGCTTTACAGAGCAAGTTCTGGGACAGCCAGAAATGTTACACAGAGAAACCCTGTCTAGAAAAACAAAAAGAAAAAAATTTTCATCTATGTATGTATGTTTATATGTATGTATGCAGATTTGTTTGTGTGTCCTGTTGCATGTGTGGAGGTCAGAGAATAACGTTCAGGAGTCACCTCTCTCTTGCTACCATTACGACACCAGGGACCAGACTCAGGTCCTCGAGGCTTGACAGAAAATGCTATGCTAACTTGCTGGTCCTTGCCAAACATTTCTTGAAAAGACAGCTCCTAGTTATCAGATTATATCTGTGAATATTCAGGCTGAAGGATAAACTCAATAGAAGGCTTTGGAAGGTCATCCAGGCTTTGGAAATTGCAATTAACGTTGAGAGCTGACCTGCACATGGGTAGTGTCTCTGTGGCAGCCGTAGACTTCAGGCTGTGGTGATGAGGAGGATGGAGGCACTCTTGGTCCTGGCAGGCCATGATGATGCATTCTTTTGGGGAGGCCTTTCAGAGTTTTTCTAGCCCAGGGACTCTCTAAGTGTTGACATGGACTGAGTATAGTTCAATGGTCATTTGAAGCACATGGTTATATGAACCAGTACTTGACTTCCAATTCATTATGTCTTAAGAGCTAAGCTTTCTCGTTTTTCTGTTGGGTCACCACCTTCCACTTAGATGTGAGGCATGCAAGGGGATCAGCTCTTTCCTCTCCCACGCTTTAGACAAGTCAGCCATTGTCCAAAGAGCAAAGTGATTCTTGTTTCAAACACTTGGGTTTAGAGTTTTTGGGGGGCTACTGCTGCTATTCTGAGATAAATGATTTTCTTATCTCTTGTTCCTCACTTTTCTCCTCCCCACCTCCAGGAAGGGTCCCTGTGGCCTTCTGACAGCTCCGTGCAGCGGCCAGGGGCTTCAGAGGTAAGGTGGAGGCTGTGGGAGAAGCCATGGCCACAGTCTTGAATTTGAAATCAAATTCAGATTGAAGTCATTGTTTGGTTAAAAGGGGCAAGAAGGGATTCCCCCTTAGAATCGTATGTCTAAGCTCTATACAGAGAATAGGTTAAAAATTGCTGACCATTAGATTATCTTAGAGCTACCAACTGGACTTTGCAAGTGTAGGCATAGTTTGTACATATCAAAAAGCATGGATTCTTTTCCCATGTCTAATTTAATAATACAAAAATTTTGAGGCAGGGTCTCAGTATGTAGCCCTGGTTGGTCTGGAACTTGCTATGTCGATCAAGCCAGTCTTGACGCAGAGATCCACCAGCTTCTGCCTCCCAAGCTGGGGTTAAAGGCGTGTCCCATAATGCTCATTGGTTATCTGGATTTTTAAAGTATTTCGATATAAATGTAAAAATAACAAAACATATGTACAAAGATCATGAAACAGTGAAATTTGTGGAGCCCAATATAGGTATTGGCAGTCAAACTAAACCAGAACTCTCTCAAAGCTTCTCAATATGCACCTGTAGAAAAATAAAGAAGTCATGGTGGTCCCCCTTTCTGTCTGGCCTCCAGTACTCGGTGGCCTACACAGAATTCATGTCAGACTTTCTTAATGCACACACATGCATGTAACATTTGTCTTCCAGAAGGTAATTGGGATAAAGGGGGATTTGTTTCTATAATGAACGTTTACATTAGCATTAGAAGTAATGGGCTTTGTTATATCATTTCCGTACATCATGTGTCATGCTTGTTCACATTTGGTCCCCTCCCGACGGGCTTCTGTTCCTCTCCTCTCTGACTGCTTCCCTTCCTTCCCCCAGTAGCCTCCTGTATTCTCACCACACATATTCTATACCCTCTATTTCACATCTGTTAAGATTTCTCTACCCCCTCATGTTCCCTTTATAGCTTCATGGCTCCTCTCCCTCTATTGCCACCCCTCCCCCTCATTTTAAACTAGGTTCCTCATATAAGAAAAAAACCACATAGCATTTCTAAGTTTGGTTTATTTTACCTAACAATGATTCCCAGTTCCATCCGTTTTCCTGCAAGTGTCACAATTTCATTTTCCTTTGTATCTTCACAAAACTCCATTGTGTGTATGTTCAATTTTTTTTTTTTTACCCATTCATCTGTTGATGGGTATCAAGACTGGTTCCATTCACTAGATATTGTGAATAAGATAGCAATATATATGGATGTGCAGGTATTTCTTTGGTATGTTTACTTGCATACTTGGTACATATTTGTAAGAGTAGGTGTAGCTGGGGAATTTTGTAGTTCTGTGTCTTCCATACCATGTCCACAAGTCCTGTCTAGCAGGCCTTAAGTTCAATCAGAAAGTAGTCGACTATCCCATCACATCCAGGCCACTATTGTGCCAGTGGGCATAGCTTGTCAAACCACTTACTTGCTCTTGTAGCTCTCAAGGTTCCCAGGTGGGTAAGATGGAATCTCAAAGGAGTTCGCATTTTCCCGATGCCTAAGGATGCTGAACATTTTTAACACGCCTCTCAGCTGTTGGCCTTTCTTCTTTTGGGCACTCTATTTAGCTCTGTGCCCCGGTTTTCACTGGGCTGTGTGTTTCAACACTGTCAGATGTATAGCTGGTAAATAGTTTTTCCCCAATGGTGGTGCCCTTTGCTGTGCAGGTTTTTAGTTTCATTTGTCCGTTGTTGTCTTAATGTCTACATTACTGGGGTCCTGCCAGAAAATTCTTTCCTGTGCCTATAATTTGAAACATAGTTTCTACTCTGTTCACTAGCAGTTTCAGGGTATCAAGCATTGGGCTGAGGTCCTTGATCCATCTGGAGTTGAGTTTTGTGCAGGATGAATAGGGGCCTGCTTTCATCCTTCTGCATGTAGTTGTCCAGTTTCATCAGCACCATTTGTTGAAGAGACTGTCTTTTCCACAGTGTGTACGGATGGTCTCCTTGTCTAAATTAGGTGGCTGTGGGAGTGCAGGCTTGATTTGGGTCTTTAGTCTGTCCCATTGACGAATATGTCTGTAGCGGGAATCTTAAAAGTTCTTATTAATAAAACAAACCTGGAGCCAAGTATTGGGGTGAACAGTGGAAGATCAGAGAGACAGAACAAGCCACAGCTACCTCACCTGGCCAACTTCTCAGCTGATCTTGTTTCCTCAGACTGGAAGCCTCTGTGTCCTCATATCCAAATGGCTCTCAGCTGAACTGTGCTGCTCAAAACCTAAAAGCTTAACCAGCCAAATGCTGCTAGTTTCTGGTCTTCACACCTTATATATCTTTCATTCCTACCATCACTCCCTGGGATTGAAGGCTTGCTTTCTGGGATTAAAAGCGTGCATGAGTCACCATGCTTGGCTGTATCCTTGAACACATGGATTTCTGCCTCTGGAATGCTAGGATTAAAGGTGTGTGCTACCACTGCCTAACTTCTATGTTTAATATTGTGGCTGTTCTGTCTCTGACCCCAGATAAGTATATTAGCGTGCACAATATTTTGGGGAGCACAATACCACCACATGTGTCTGTTTTTATGTCAGCGCCATACTGTTTTCATTCCTGTAGCTTTGTAGTATACCTTGATATCTGGGTGGTGATACCTCTGCTATCCATGTCTTCAGGCACCCATGTTCTCTTTTCCACTTGATCACTTTGTTGGCAAGGCTTTCCGTGGAGCTTCTTACTTGGCTTATTGAACTTTTCATTTCACATTTGATTTCGGTTGGGCCTTTAGAAGTCCTCTTTACTAAATTGTATTTTCATACCTTGAAGTTTTTCTTTGTGTTAGTCAATTGTTTGTGTTTTGTAGTCTTTATTCTGGCATTTATGCATATCCTCATTGAGTCAGTCTTGGACATGTTTATAATTAATATTTTGAAATCATTGAAATTGAAAAAATTGGAATTGCCTTTCCAAGGGAACATAACTATGGGAGTACTGGGTTTTGGAGGAGACACACTCTCTTGTTTATTTCTGTTATTTGTGCTTAGCGATGGGCTCTAGGCACCAAAGTTAGGTTGTGTTTTTCTTGGGATGTTTTTGTTGTTTGTGTTTTTTGTTGGTTTTTTTTTTTGGGGGGGGGGAGTATGGACATCTGTCCTACCTTTATTGAGTAGACATTTGGATCTCTGTTTGCTATTACCCCAAATTGTCAGGTTATGGACCATGTGAATGGTGTTTGAGTTCAGTCTTGGAGCCACTAGGTGGTGTTGTGTGAATGGGGTCCCAGATCACCTGAGGCCAGGGCTATGGTTTGCTTCTGAGCACGGGAACTAACCTTCCGTAGAGTTAGAATGTTCTCACTGTAGCAGGTTCCCAAAAATGTGTAGAAGGCTCACTCAGTTCTGCAGGTGGTCCTAGGTAAAGGGTTGGAGTCACTGTGGTAGTGAGACTTGAGGTCCTCAAGGCAGTGGGGGATCCTTACCAAGGGGATGTGCTCAGCCACATGCTCCTCAGGCAACAAGGGTGAAGTCAGGAACTGAGTAGGGGGTTCTCTACCTGAGGTGTTCAAGAGACCTGGTCTTCAGGTGACAGGGGTGGAGTTGTGGTGGGACTGGGGTCCCTTTCTAGGGTAGATGTTACAGTGCTATTTTAATTTGCATGTCCCTGGTGGCGAAGGAGGTTGAACACTTTCTCAAGCATTTATCATCTATTTGTAGTTCCTCTTTTGAGAAGTGTCCATTCAATAGTCCACTTATGGATTCAATGGCTTTCTTGGTGTTTAATTTTTAGAGTTCTCTATATAGTCTAGATATTCCCTGTCTAATGTGGAGTTGGAAAATATTTCCCCCATTCTGTGGTCTGAGTCTTCACTCTGGCTTGTTTCTTCTGCTGTGTGGAAGCTCTTTAATTTCGTGTTGTTATTTCCGTGCCCACCCCCTCCCCCCCATCAATCTCAGGAATTATTTCCTGTGTCGATGGCATTCTTTTAGAAAGCCCTTGCTTATGCTGCAGTCTGTCTCCATGTGTCTAACCTGTGTTTTCTATGAGCAGCTTCAAAACTCAGGTCTTTGACCCATTTTTAAATTGACTATTGTATGGTACCAGAGGTACAGATTTTGTCTTGTTCTGCTATATATGGAAATCCAGTTTTCCCAGCATTATTTGTTAAAGAGGACTTTTTTTTCTCTCCAAGGGATGTTTTTTATACCTCTGTAGAAAATTAGGTGGCTGTAGACATTAAGTTTATTCTAGGTCCCCTGGTCCATCCCATTGATCTATATGTCTGTATTTGTGCCAGTACATAGCTGGTTTTGTTATATGGCTCTGTGATATCATTTGATATCTGGAATTAAGCCTCTAGCATTACTCTTTCTGCTAATGATTGTTCTGCCTATCTCGGTTCTTTTATGCTTCCATTTTATGAATTTTAGAATTGCTTCTGCTAGTCTATGAAGAATGCCACTGGAATTTTGTGGACAGTGTACTAAGTTTGTAGATCATCAAATTCAATATGCAGCCATTTTCACAATATTAAGTTTACTAGTCCATGGACAAGCAAGGTCTTCCTATTGTCTAATGTCTTCTGTTTCTTTCTTCATTGCTTTAAAAACTTAATTTTAAGCCAGGTCTATGTAGTGGCACACACCTTTAATCGCGACACTTGGGAGGCAGAAGAAGGCAGATCTCTGATCTTAAAGCCAGCCTGGTCTACATAGGAAGACCCTTTCAAACACACACACACACACACACACACACACACACACACACACACACATACACGCGCACGCGCGCGCCATAAAACAAACAAACAAACAAACAACACTTTATTTTAGAAGTCCCCCATCTCCTTGGTTATTCCCATGTGTTTTATTTTTATTTTGAAGGTATTATGAATGAGATCCCCGCCCCCATATTTCTTTTGGGAAAGTTCATTATCAGTATGCATAGAACCTAATATTTTTGTATGTGGATTTTGTATCCTGCTACTTCGCTGAAAGTATTTGCCAAGTCTTAAAGGTTTCTGTGTGGAGTTTTTATGGT